CCTGTTCGGGCGCCAGATGTTGGGGTCCAACCCCAGCGGGTCCAGGGGTCCCCAAAGGTGTGGACGGAGTCGGCGAAGAAGGAATGACACGGAGACAGCCTTCAGTTGATCAGCAGCCTAGTCAGGACCTCTAGCCAGGATCTCCAGCCAAAGTTCTGGTCGGAGTTCTGGTTAGGAACTGATCAGGATCTGATGTTTATTGTCTTGTTACATCTATATTTATACCAGCCGATTTTAATCCTGTCAATTTCTATTACAAAGGTTAGGGCGTTTCTTATCTCCATTCCAGGGAGTAAAGATTATGTAGCTTAACTACCCGCCTGGCACTTAGTTAAGGGGTTGTATCCCCTCCCTAACCTCAGGGAAAAATCCCTACCTGGGGAAACAACCTTTCTCGGAGAGGTGACCTTGGTTAAAACACATGGCGCTTAAGGAGAGCAAACATATTAAGAACAATATGCTATATATGCCAGGTCCCTTGAAACATATGCTGTGCAGATGTTTCTTTCCTGCAGCGACTGTGTCAAGCAGCAAGGATGGACCGGCTTCCAGCAGATGGGGTCTGCGCTTGGAGCAGGCCCCACTGGTAGTGTGTGGGTTCTTGACTTTGTGTAGGAAAGATTTCACTATAGCAGCCCAGGTGATTTGGAGAGTGTGCTTATTAAAGCCAGGGGCAATAAAACAAAGGAAGGGCTTAAGGAAGAAGAAGCAATCGGAAAAAGTCAGAGAAACGGGGGCCTTGGAGATAGGTTCAGGGGATACGCCCCGGATAAGCTGCTGCAGCCTTATGTTCCCCTGGTTGCAAGTTTCCTGATCCCTGACAGTTTAGGAGAAAACCAGCAGTGATACAAGGCGTGGGCATACCCTAGCGAGAGAGTGCACTGAGGGTAGAGTGTGTTTATTAAAGCTGAGAGTACGTGTATTAAAGCTGGGGACAGCGAAACGAAGGAAAGGCTTAGGATAGATTAGAAGCAGCAACAGGAGAGAGTCTAGGTGGGACTGCTTTGGCTTTGAGAAATTAAAGTTTCAGTGACAGAAGGGAGTTCACTGGGACGTTAGAGGAAAAGGGGCCCTAGAGACAGGTTCAGGGGGTAAGCCCAGGACCAGCTGCTGTTGCCCACTGCTCCCCTGGATGCAAGTCTCAGAGGGACCTTAGAAAAAGAGCAGAGAGACAAGACAAGGGCGTGTGGCCCATAGCTTCTTTTGTCTTGAGGCTTTTTATCTCTCTCTGGTCAGTGGGGATCCTAGGGGAAGTCTCAGAGGAGGGTCCCAAAGAATACTCATTCGCTTTTCAGGTGTGTCCTTCAATACGTTGATTCGTCAAAATGTGTATATAGAGGGGTTAGGGTTATTTTCTGGTTGGTTTTATTGTTAAAGAACGTTACTGAAGAGGGACCAGGACTGAAGCCGGTCTGCCCAGGCAAGGTCTGGACTGTGTAAACCATTTGCTGCTCCTAAGGGTCCTCAGTTGGGAAAGATAAAACCTTGTGATTAGCTGACTGTAAATTGCTCAAATTGTTTGCCCTTGTTTAACTATTTTGTCTCAATTTCCCTTATTCCACCTGTCAAGGAATTCCCCTAGCTTCTTACTAACCTCCCACAGAATTAGGACCCAGTACTTGACTGAATATGTGGTTTTTGCTTCAAGTCACTTGGTACTACATACTGAACTTAGAGTTTTTGTAGGAAGGTGAAATTTGAAGATAAGGAGCAGGAAAATGTAGATTTCCTTTTGGACATTTGGATTTGGGCGCATGCAAGGAAAAGCCAGCATAGTGTACAGCAAGCAGTAGGATTTACAGTTCTTGGGCTCAAAGGGAGAGGACTGGGCTGGAAATTTGAGTTGACCATGACTTAAACGTTCATTTTTTTCTAATTACAAGTTGTTTCAAATTTCACTTTTCACTTAAACTCAACGCAAGTTTTTCTGATACACTACAAGCATCCTAAAGTTACTGTCCCCTCTACAATGGCCTCCTCGGGTAATTTTAAAAGCTTAGATATCTTGGAAATGCAGCAGTCCTCACCAATGCGAGCAAAAATCCGGGAAAGACCTGGCTTCACATTGGCTCCCTAGAGGTCATGAATGATACTCGCTTGTTACACAGGCATCCATGCAACTGGAAATGAACTCGAGATGCGTGTCGAACGTCCTCTTTCATTAGCAAGAAAACTCTTGAGCCCACTGCTCCCTTCTCCCTCCTCTTCTCAGGCCCGCGGGCCTTTTCTTACTGTGGGTCGTCCCATTGCCCGGCCGGGGGCAGGGGCCTCCTGTTTTGGGAGAACCGGCCTGTAACGACGCGCGTCTCCAGGGCCCTGGGGGGCGAGGGGCGCCCGGGTGGGTTCG